CCCCAGGCCTGTCCCCAGTGCTGTCCCCAGGCCTGTCCCCAGTGCTGTTCCCAGACCTGTCCCCAGTGCTGTCCCCAGACCTGACCCCAGTGCTGTCCCCAGTGCTGTCCCCAGGCCTGTCCCCAGTGCTGTCCCCAGGCCTGTCCCCAGTCCTGTCCTTAGTCCTGTCCCCAGTGCTGTCCCCAATCCTGTCCCCCCAGGTGAGGCTGGAGGCTGCCCCCCAGCCCTGCTTGTGCTCCCTGGAGAAGAGCGGACAGAAGGCCAGTCCCCTCTTCCTGAGGAAGAAGGGGTGGCCCCTTGTGTCCAGCTCTCACTTCATTCCCCCCTCCCCCTCCTGGGCTTGCGTCCCGGGTTTGCACTTTCACCCACACATCCCTTGATCTTCCCGGTCGGTTGTCAGGAGCCCTGCCTCCTCATGGGCTCCTGGGAGCCCAGGCCCTGGTTTGTGCTCAGGGCTTTGGAGGGATCTAGCTAGGCAGTCCACTCACCCTGCCCCCCTGCAGTGCTGGTGGCTGAGATTGTGAAGCACTTCTACCCCCGGCTTGTGGACCTGCACAGCTACGTCCCTGCCTGCAGCACGGATCAGAAGCTGAGCAATTGGAGCCTTCTCAACAGGCAAGGGCTGAGCGAAGCTGGTTCTCCGAGGCTGGCCTGGCCCACGGCTCTTTCACATCCCTCTGGGGCAAGTTTCCAGCTGTGTGGGTGCTGACCCTGCTCACAGAGCCTCACTCTCAGTCATGCCCCTGCGGGCATCGCCAGAGAATAAGCCGTCTCGGTCCCACCTCTGCTGGCTCTCCAGTAGACAGATCGTGCCTTCGTGTAGGCCACAGCTTGGTGATAGTGAAGGACCGGGGTGGAGGGAGGTTTCGGCGAGGTGATCCCAATCAGAGGTGGGGGGACACCTGGGAGGGAGCGAGGAGCCACAGATCCCGGCCTCCAGTCCACACCAAGACCTGGGTGGGCATAGAGGTACTGGAGGCCCTGTAGAACGTGCACTTCAGAGGGTGGGCATGAAGGGCCCATCGGAGGTGCGGGCAGCCGTCCGGACCAAGGGAGGAGAGGGCATGGCTACTGTGAAGTGTCAGCCTTGTGGACTGCTCAGAACACAGGCAGGGAGGTGAAGCCCAGCAGGGACAGCCCCGGGCCCAGGCAGCTTCTCCTTCCAAGGAAAGCAGGGACTCCGCTGCGGCCTGAGCCTGTGGCCCGTGCCTGGCCCTGGGGGCGCACTGCCCTGACGGCCAGCCCCTCCCTTTGCAGGAAGGTCTTTCACAAGCTGCACTTGTCTCTCTCGGAGGCGGACATTCACAAGGTGGTGGCCAACACACCTGGAGCCATTGAGCCTATTCTGTGTGCACTGAGGGTGAAGGTGGAGGCTAGCACCGTTCACGTAGGCTCTCCTGGAATAGCTGTACGTGGGTGTGAGCGTGTGTGTGCGAGCCGGTGTGCGTGCTCGAGCCACTATACCCGTGTAAATCTGCATGTGTGTGTGTGAATGCATGCGTGTCGGCATGTGTGCAAATCTTCATGTGCATGATCAGTGTGTGTGTGTCCGTGTTCCTGTGAACTAGTGCATGTGTATGCGAAACAGTATACATGTGTGAGTCAGCATACATATGTGAGGCACTGTGTGAATCAGTGCATGTGTCACTGTACATGTATGTCAGTGCATTGTGGATTTTTGTAAATGTGTGAATCTGTACATGTGTGTCCATATATGTGTATGAATCAGTACACATGTGAACATGTGCGAATCAGTGTACATGTCATTGTGTAAATTGGTGCAGTGTGAGTCAATACATGTGTGAATCAGTGCACATGTCATTGTGTAAATTGGTGCAGTGTG